TCAAGGGTGTACCGGAAGCATTGGTAGACATCCACTGATGAAAAATTTCCCTCTACCCTTATTCCTCCTATCCTGGTATTTTTTAACTTCTCTCATCACATCACACAGGATATGCTCATCCCACTCAAACTCATGGACCATGCTCATATCTCGTAGGGTGTAAAGATAATCTAGGGGGATCATGTTTCCTGTCCCAGGAGCTAGGACCAAAGCCAGGCACAGTAATACCCATGACCTCTCGATGGTGTCATCATCATCTGCTTTTGATAAGACAGAAACTGCGTTGGGTATCGGAGCCCTATCCCCGCCACGCAGATAAACTTCACGGAAATCAGCTTTGCCCCTCTTCCCGAACTCTATCGGTCTGCTACCAGATGGGACATTGAATATCTTCTTAACCATGTCTTTTGAAAAGTGGATCTCCTTGTGGTCATTAATCCTGCAATTCACAAAAAAACAATAGATGTTGCGAGAATAAAGAAAACAAAAGGTGTTATGCAACAGGAAAGAAATATAAAAAAAAAGCAAAAGATTACATACTTCAGCACACGATTCTTAGGGTCAATGTTCATAATAATGAAATCAAGAAGCTCTTCAGGAGGAGGGACCAAAGGAGATATAAACAGCAAATCCCCGAAGCTGGACTTGCTTATTACATCTCTCTTTTTCCCTTTGATGTCATTGGCTATTTCACGCAGCTGCTTTGCCGACAAACAAGTTTGAAAGATAGGCATTCTGCAAAACAAGGTTTGAAAGAACATTAGCTAGTCCAACTAATTTCAGATAAACATGAGCTAAAAATCATGGAAAAGTAACAGTAGTTAAAATTTCAGAGAAAGGATATATGTAGTTTCAGAAACAAAATGGATAACTACATGAGTAGTTTCAGAGAAAAGTATTGAAACATGACCTACAATAACTAAATTTCAGAGAAAACATATTTGTAGTTTCAGAAAACAAAAACTAAGTTTCAGAAATCATACATGACCTACAATAACTAAATATCAAAAATTTCAGAAAGCATAAAGTACAAAAATTCCTGAAGCATAACCTACACTAATGCATCACTAATTGCTACAGAAACTTCTATCTAAACATCAAATTGGCTACAGAAACTTCTCTCTAAACATCAAAATAATGTATCACTAATACTCAAGCCAGAAAGCTACAAAAAACTTTGAGCTGCAAAAATTCAGAGATTACCTACTAGCCAATTTGAGCTATAACAACCTAGAACATCAAAGGACAGGAGAACCTAGAACATTCAGAGATTACCTAATAGCACAACAAACGGGTAGCATACACGGAGCACCTACAGCCAAATTTGAGCTACAGAAATTCCTACAACACATCACTATAACGAGCCAATTTTAGCTACAAAGGAATCAGAAGTTTCTGCAACAAAAACAGATCTGAGAAAATCCCAATCCCCTGCTACAGCTACACATCTACAATCCAACACCTATATCAGTGGCGCCGACGATGGCGCCTCACTACAACAGAGCACCACTGTGACGAGCCCGCGTAGCCGCCGAGGAGGAGCCGCCAAGCAGAGGAGAACCGTCTGAGAGCTGACCAGAAATGGGGGGAAGGAGCACGCGGCCGTACCTGCTTGTGTCGTCGTCGCCACCGTGTTGGATGCGCCCGCGTCACCCCCGCCGTTGGTCGCCGCCCGCCGTTGGTCGCCGCCTGTCGTTGCCCTACCAGATCCCACCGCCGCCGCCCTAACAGACACAACGGAGCTGCGGGAGCGGGAGCACTGCGAGAGCGTTACAGCTGCGTTAATCATTCCTGAAACAGCCGCCCAGTTTTAGAAACATTTGTGCGTGACGCGGAAGCGAGGAACGCTCTCGTTCGTCTGATCAACACACGATCCGACGGACGCGGAGCCGGCGGACGCGCGAGCGTTATCAGTCGGTTGAAGGTGAGCTTTTTCCACGAAAAAACCATCCATGAAAACCTCAACAATATTTTCACGAAAGTCAGAGGATACAGTAGTCATACATCTTTGAAAGGCAGCAGGTGCATTGCATAAACCAAAAGGCATACGTCCATAAGCATAAGTTCCAAAAGGGCAAGTAAAAGTGGTTTTCTCTTGATCGGATTGTGATACATGTATTTGAGATAAACCAGAATATCCATCAAGCAAAAGTGTGTGTCCTTAGATAGTTTTTCTAACATTTGATCAATAAAAGGTAAGAGGTAATGATCTTTTCTAGTAGCTTTGTTTAATTTTCTAAAATCAATTACCATCCTATAACCAGTTACAATTCTTTGTGGAATCAGCTCATTTTTATCATTAGGAACACAGTAATGCCTCATTTCTTAGGGATACAATGAAAAGGACTTACTCATCTACTATCAGTTATGGGATAAATTATACCTGCTTCCAGAAGCTTTAATATTTTAGTTCTTACCACTTCTTTCATCTTAGGATTTAATCATTGTTGATGATCGACAACTGGTTTAGCATCAAGCTCCATATTAATTTTTTTGTTGGCATAGAGTAGGACTAATGTCCTTAAGATCATCAAGAGTATATCCAATAGCAGCACGGTGCTTCCTCGGAGTTTTAAGTAATCTCTTCTCTTCATGCTCTGTAAGGTTAGCACTAATAATAAGGGAATATATTTTCCTTTCATCAATATAAGCATATTTTAGATTATCAGGTAATTGTTTTAATTCAAACACGGGATCATCCTTAGGTGGAGGAGGACCTCCTAGAGTTTCAACATGCAAATTGTGTTTAAGAATAGGTGGTTGATCGAAGAACATCTTATCTATTCCATTTCTTTCATGCAAGTGTATATCGTTCTCATGATCCAGCAAATATTGTTCTAAAGGATCGGGAGAGTGGTGTCCTCATGTTTCGAGGTTTCAAAAAGGGGAGTGGAAATAATTTGAAACTTTTGAATGGAAATTGAATTCCATGATCCGCTCCGCCTCTGAGAGCGGCACCCAGTTAGGTTGTGCGGAAGCAACATGTCGACAAGGAGGAAAGTGGAGGTTGTGGGTGGATGGGATATGAACTAGTCAAACATGGCGACAAGGAGGAAGGTCGAGGATATGGGTTATGATATTGCAGTGGAGGTTACGAGCTACTACCTCCGTCCGGGTTTATTGGTCCCCATTGTATTCCATGTCAAATTTTAACTGTAAATCTAACTAATAAAACGTTCACGCATTACACCAAAAATAATATCATTAAAAATTATGTTCAAAATACGAATCCAATGATATAATTTTTGTTGGCATGCATTTACATTTTCTTATTTAATTACTTGATCAAAATTTGACACAAATTATAATGGGGACCAATAAACCAGGACAAAGGTAGTATTCAGCTATGCCGCCCACAAGAATGGCGCGGACAATTGGCACTCAGGTAGCCCGTCACTAATAGGCACACTTCCCGATGCCATGGTGTCCGGAGTTTTTCTCACGGGTGGCCCCCCTCCAAAGAAACGGCCACGGCCTCGCGGTCTCAATATGACACCCTCCATAGGTTATGAGGGTGAAGAGCCAGATCACTACTCTACTAGAGCAGCCCTTTAAGTAAAAATTAGAGCATCTCCAGCCGTTCAGCCCTCCAGGACGCCAAAAAAAAGTCGCCTAGGGGCAAGCCGGCGTTAGATTGGCACGTGGGGGCGATCGAGCTCCCAATCGTCGGCCCACAGGTCGCCCCGGGTACGGCGACTTTTGCACGAAACTCGGCGAAACTTCATTGAAATTTGTAAAAAAAAACACGAACACATGCGAACTACGCCTAAACTACGTCTAGCCGTCACCGCCGTCGTCGTCGTCTACATGTCGAGAAGCCTGTAGAAGCGGGTATAGTCGCCGTCGCCGCCATCATCGTCGTGCGGCTGGCTTGGGCCAGCGCCGTCCCTGCTGCAGCACTGGCCCGGGTCGCCGAGGCGCGGTGGCGCGCTGGACGGCCCGGACTCGTTCTCCTCGTCGCTGTCGAGGACGATGACGCCGCCCTTCTCGCGACCGCCGCGCCAGGCCTGGAGCTCCGCGTACGCCCGGCGCTGGCAGCATACCTGCTCCCGGACGTAGTCCTCCTTCGCCACTTGAGGGCGGACTCGTCGTCGGGGGCCGCCATCTCGACGTGCTCCGGCTTCACTGGGAGCAGCCCCGGCTCCGGCTTAGCCCGGACCAGGCGAAAGGAACCGCGCGGGGAGGACCGGGCACCGCCGCGCCGTCGCCTGGGTACCTCTCGGCCATCTTTCTCGTCGGCGGGAAGAAGGGAGAGTGTTGCTTCTGCGTCGGAGAGGGGGGGAAATGAGAGCTACTTCTGCGCCGCCCGTGAGACATCAATGGAGACTGACCGGCGCGGTAGCGCGGCAGCCTTCGCATTGATTCCCGCGGGAACCAAGGCGATGAGGGCGACGAAGCGGTGTGTCGCTGACTCAGCGGGCCCATCCACTTTCGCGCCAAAACACCTCGCCCCGATGCCTCCATCGCGTCGCGTTTGGCCTGGGTCCGCCGACGCCAGTTTCGGCCCAAACCGGCAAAAAAAATAGGCTTCTAAGGGCGCGACTGGACCGATTTTTGGGCGCCGGCGCAACAAAAACGCCTGGAAAGGGCATGTTGGGGGCGCGGCTGGAGTTGCTCTTAGACTACTAGAGCAGCCCTTTCAGCAAAGATTTGATCACGCCCGATATGACTGACTTTACTGGTTGCTCTAAAAGGGACCGTTACCCAAGAATGGGTCGTGAGCGTCCCAGATGTGAGCTGCATTTCTAATAGTACCAGAAAAAAAAAGTGCCACCAAATGACCTTCAACAACGCTAATTTCTAGCTTTCTGATTCATCATCAAGAAGCCAATGGACCAAAGGCGGCCACGGTTTGCTAATAGATTTGAACTTAAAGAAGGGTCGGATGTTAGTGCCAAACCGTTACAGCAGGTACATCAAGAACATCACAAAGAAAACATGGTACTTCCTACTAAACCACAAACATTTTGAGTACCAAAACCAGCAACTGAAATCTCTCTTTAGAAGTGCTGACAAGCTTTAACAGAATCCTTCGGTCTCAACAACCCACTTAATCCAGGAGCTTCCTCTTCCTGCATATATAGATCAATGGACATCATTATATGAACTTGATAGGATTAGCACAGAAAACATGCCATAGCAATCATGTTTCCAGCAAACATAATGAATCAATAAAATAGAAATTAAGCTAGAAGGTATTTGCAATAGCGTGAGATCAGCATTATCTTTTTCATTGTGGATGGGAGAAGGAAAAGGAAAAGGAAGAGTTCCTTCTCTTGGCCAACAGATGATACTTTAGTGAGTTCCTTCTCTTAGCCAACAGATGATACGTTAGTGAATTCCTTCCCTTATAGCTAAAAAAAGATGATACCTTAGATCATCTCCAATAGAAGATGCAAATTTGGAGATGTAAAAATTTACATCTCCAAAAAGTATTTTTTACATCTCCAAAAAGTATTTTTTACATCTCCAAAAAAGAGCCAACTCCAACAGATGATGTATATTGGAGATGTAAAAGTAGTGCTCCAACATATGATGCATATTTGAAGATGTCAAACTACTACTCGAAGCGGCGACGGCCGAGCTTCGGTGGCATGGTGGAGGCGCGGTCGCGGATCGACCGGCGGCGGCCGAGCTTTGAGACTATGGGGCGGCGCGGCGCGGCTGGGCTACGGATCAAGCGCCGGCGCCGAGCGTTGAGTCGAGAGGAGGAGCGGGCGGGGCAGCGGCGGTGCTCGAATCGGGCGGCGGCCGAGCTTCAAATGCGGCGGGAAGGGGCGGGCAAGCTTCAAATCAGGCAGCGGGGGTGGAACTGAGGTGGGG